TACCTGAGTCCTAATGGTCTACACTCATGCGTCACATGCCTAATAGTCCTCATAGTTCTCAGTCTTAAAAGGGCCCAGTGCTAATGGACCCCAGACTTAAATGATCCCAGTGGTATTGGACCCCAGATTTAAATGATCCCAGTGGTATTGGACCCCAGATTTAAATGATCCCAGTGGTATTGGACCCCAGATTTAAATGATCCCAGTGGTAATGGATCCCAATCTTAAATGGTCCCAGTTGTAATGGACCCCAGGCTTAAATGAGCCCAGTGCTAATGAACCACTAGCCCTAATGGCTCCATGTCGTATTATCCTCCAATTATAATGGTTAGGTTAGGTTAGGTGTGATGACAGCAACTGATCTTGTACCATCAGTGGTTATAATGTTATGGTACTTTATATTGCCAGGGAGAAGAGTCGATATCCTTTAATGTTATTTTAATAATATAGCCCAACTTAGTGAGTGTAGTTCACATAGTTATGGTGTATAATTAAGGTATTTTGAGTTTGTCAGTCAATGTTGTATGTGTTTATATCTCTGGGTAGTACTAGAGTTCATTAGCCACTTCTCAACTGAGGGACTGACGACACTGGCGGAATATGATAGATCCTCTGTACTGAATTACCTGAAGATTAGGTACCCCAGCGTATTTCACATGATGATTAAACACCCTAACGTTAGTCTTACCTGACCTAATATAACATAACCCCCAGGTAGCGGTAGGGTGTCAATCATCAGGTGAAATAAACTTTGGTGCTTAATATACAGGTGATATGCCATAACCAAACATAGATGTCGGCAATGCAGTGAAATATAGAAGGACAATTATAACGAGTGTGACTTGTGTGTGGGTGAGGTAGTACAGGTGAGGGGAGGTGTGGCTCTGTATAAGCACACCTGCCTCAGTTGCTGTGGTGTGACCTACATGATGGTACTGCACAGGTGAACTGATTTAATAACACTACAGGTGTCTACACGTGTTTTGGTACAGTCTCTCATGTATTTTGTATCGTATGTTTAGTTTATCTTTAAATTAGTGTTACGAGAGAATGTATAGAGTTAAGATAAAGCAGGAAATAATGTTTTATATATTTTTCGGATTTAAGATTTTTTTTGTTTCTTTTTTTGAGTTGTCTGGTCACATTGGTTCTTATATCTTCATTTGTGAGGAAAATTTAATGCCATAACCTCTGAGGATCTCGTCCCAGGCTTGATGGCCAGTGTGAGGTGTGTCTTGTGACCCAGTTAACATCCACCTTCTTTCTTTGATGACGGTCGAGGGTGTGGTAGTGGTCAAGGGTAGTGGTGCTTGAGAGTAGTAGTAGTGGTGGTGGTCATGGGTAGTGTGGCAGTAGTGGTGGTCATGGGTAGTGGTAGTAGTGGTGGTCATAAGGAGTGATTAGTAGTGGTGATCATGGGTAGTGGTAGTAGTGGTGGTCATGGGTAGTGGCAGTAGTGGTGGTCATGGGTAGTGGTAGTAGTGGTGGTCATGGGTAGTGGTAGTAGTGGTGGTCATGGGTAGTGGTGGTCATAAGGAGTGATTAGTAGTGGTGATCATGGGTAGTGGTGATGGTCAGGGAGGCAGCTTAATGATGTGACAGCGTTCCACCATAAACACGTGGATGATACCAAGCTTAGCTCTCTGCTGCCCCGAGACTTGTAACCTTTCCATCACTCTTGGTCCGTCTGTGATGCCTGTACCCCTTCCTATACCGCCGGGGATTACAGTCTGATGCTGTAACCCATCTTTTAGCATTTATTTATCAGTCCTTGTTTTGATGCCTGTAATCCTCTCTACTCCTAGGGATTACCAGGTTCTGTTGTAAATCGCTTCTTCTGGTCTTTTTTGTGATCTCTCATCTTGTGCTGTAATCCTTCCGTCTTACAGCAGCAGTCATTCTTAGTCCTGGCCCTGATGCTTGTAATCCTCTTTACCCCCTGGGATTACAATCCGGTGCCGTAAATTTCCTATTCTGGCCATTGTAATCCCTCATCAGTGCAGGAGGGGTCAAGGGGTGTCCAAATGACGACCATATATTCAGTTATGGACGAATCAGATGTCCACACAGTGATATCTAGACCAAAGGGCAGTGTAAAAGATGTCCACAGCCACACGTTATTGGGACATTTTGGTCGTGACAGGATGACTGACGGGTGTTGTGGTGGGGTGGGGTTCTGGATATCACAGTCGCGTTCCTCATAGTTTATAACAGAGACGTGTGGTAGTGTTGACTCTCCCCGCTGGCCAGGTGCTGTAAAAGACCCTCACGATCTTGGGGTAGCTAAACTGGAGGGTGTTTCTCTCTCTTGCTTTTCTTATTTATATTTATTTTTGTTTAGACTATTTTCTGTATCTCTACTATATGTTGTCTTTACCTGCTAGCTATGGATACTTTCTGCCTTTTCTCATTAAACTTTCTAATCGTTTCGAAAGTAAACAATACAGGTCAGAGGTAAAGTTAGCACAACATAGGCTGGAGGTCGGAAGTAAAGTAAACACAACACAGGCTGGAGGTCGGAGGTACACAGAGGCCTCATACACCACACATACACCCACGTAAACCCATTATGGCTGATGTATGAGTACTGCTTAGTGATCATACTTAAGCCGGGATAATTAGAGGGCACTTGGTGTATTTTTAAGACAAGTGTAGTGATTCGTATACAGTTTATGAGTATTATTATGGTAGGCGTTTATTAGTGTCTGATGTGTTTGTTTGTAAATACTATGCTGTAGGGAGGGGGTACAGTCAAGGCACGAGTTCTTGACCCATTTTGACACTTGACCTTGACATCTCGACCTTGATCTTCATCTTATATTTAATTAAGGTTTTATGAGAACAAGTATGAAGGTACAAAAAAAAATGATAGGTTACTTCATAGTCTATTGAGTTTTTCTGAAGATTAGAAACCTACTCTTATTTCACCTGATGATTAAAGACCCTGGCAAAACATAGGGGTCGGTTAGGTTAGGTCAAGGTTAGGTTAGGTCAAGGTGTGTTTAATCATCAGGTAAGATAACTGGAAGTTCCTAGTCTCCCTCCTTCAGTTTGTTGGTTTTACCGCTTGGTGTATGAGGATGATTTGAAGTTGTTTTTTAATATGGAATTTTAGAAGAGTTGTAAGACTTGTGCTTGTGGATAACTAACTTGGCATTGTTTAAATATGACTAGAAATCCAGTACAGAGATTAATCCTAAGAGTTTTGGGATAATAAAAACCTACAAATATACGTAATTATACATATATGAGACTGTCCTTGTATGTATGGAAAATGTATATGAAATGAAATAGAAAGATCTGGTGATGAAGATGTCTTTAAACAAGAATTATAAAGCGTGTGTGTGTATTGTGTTGCACTGTGTTAGGGAATATGAAGACGTGGGTCAGTGAGAGGTTAATGCCGGCCGCCCCCCCACCCACCCCACACACTATTCTTAGTTCATCGATACTTCCGCCCCGGATAGCTTCACAGGGGTGTTTGTGTGCCACTGCCCTTCCGGAGAGTTAACTACTGTAACACTGCTCTTCTGGACCTTCCGGAGAGTTAACTACTGTAACACTGCTCTTCTGGAGAGTTAACTACTGTAATACTGCTCTTCTGGAGAGTTAACTACTGTAACACTGCTCTTCTGGAGAGTTAACTACTGTAGCACTGCTCTTCTGGAGAGTAGACTACTGTAGCACTGTTCTTCTGGAGAGTTAACTACTGTAACACTGCTCTTCTGGAGAGTTAACTACTGTAATACTGCCCTTCTGGAGAGTTAACTACTGTAACACTGCTCTTCTGGAGAGTTAACTACTGTAGCACTGTTCTTCTGGAGAGTTAACTACTGTAACACTGCTCTTCTGGAGAGTTAGCTACTGTAGCACTGTTCTTCTGGAGAGTTAACTACTGTAACACTGCTCTTCTGGAGAGTTAACTACTGTAACACTGCTCTTCTGGAGAGTTAACTACTGTAACACTGCTCTTCTGGAGAGTAGACTACTGTAGCACTGTTCTTCTGTAGTAACACTGTTCTTCTGGAGAGTTAACTACTGTAACACTGCTCTTCTGGAGAGTTAACTACTGTACTACGGAGAGTTACTGTAACACTGTTCTTCTGGAGAGTTAACTACTGTAACACTGCTCTTCTGGAGAGTAGACTACTGTAGCAGCACTGTAACACTGTTCTGGAGAGTTAACTACTGTAACACTGTTCTTCTGGAGAGTTAACTACTGTAACACTGCTCTTCCGGAGAGTTAACTACTGTAACACTGTTCTTCTGGAGAGTTAACTACTGTAACACTGCTCTTCCGGAGAGTTAACTACTGTAACACTGTTCTTCTGGAGAGTTAACTACTGTAACACTGCTCTTCTGGAGAGTTAACTACTGTAGCACTGTTCTTCTGGAGAGTTAACTACTGTAACACTGCCCTTCCGGAGAGTTAACTACTGTAACACTGCTCTTCTGGAGAGTTAACTACTGTAACACTGCTCTTCTGGAGTTAACTACTGTAACACTGTTCTTCTGGAGAGTTAACTACTGTAACACTGCTCTTCTGGAGAGTTAACTACTGTAACACTGCTCTTCTGGAGAGTTAACTACTGTAACACTGCCCTTCTGGAGAGTTAACTACTGTAACACTGTTCTTCTGGAGAGTTAACTACTGTAACACTGCCCTTCTGGAGAGTTAACTACTGTAACACTTCCTCTCTGGAGAACTTCCCATTACTGTGTGTTGTTTTGGGGGGAGAGTTTGATGTTTGTGGTAGAGGCAGCGACTCTTGCATCTCAGCCGTGACAGTAGAAGAAACACTGATGGTGGTTTCTTCTTTCATTTTTAGATCATTTATTGTATTCTCTTATCTTGACCCTTAACTATATAGCACTATAAAGCTTAATAACCTCAAGAACATTATAGATAGAACACGCCGGTTTTATTATACTTGAAGAACATCATAAGCCTCTTCTGTGATTAATGAACTAACCAGGCGTGACTTTTTCTCTTGTTGCAGGTCCCGGTTGAGGGCAGCGCCGACCATAGGGAGCGGATACGACACTTCGCCTTCGACTATGCCTACGAGCTCGGCAAGGGCGACGAAGACCAGGGAGGCAACGCCAAGCCCAGGGGAGACGCCAAGTCCAAGGACTCCCGAAGACCCAGCAGGAAGGACAGTAGGAGAACCACCGCCACCAGTAGGAAGACCTCCAGGAGTCATGACAGGGCCAAGGACATCGGTACTGAAGGAAAGAGTGAAGAACCAAAAGAAGTCAAAAATGAAGAACAGAGAGAAGGCAAGAGTGAAGAACAGACAGAAATCAAGAGTGAACATCAGAGTGAAGAACAAATTCAAGAGAAGACTGAGCACCAGGAAGATAACAAGAGTGAAGACCAAAGGAGTGTAAAGAGTGAGGATTTGAGGGCATTCGACGTTGAGAACCAGAGTAGTAGTCGTAAAGAGCAGAGAAAGAGGAAGAGTCGAGACAGCGAGAGTGAAAACCACCTTGGAGTCTTAGTAGAAAACCAGAGTGAAGACCTATGTGAAACCAAGAGTGAAGTCAGTAGGGCCGTGAGTGAAGCCCAGCCCGAGGACCTCAGTCACGAAGGCCAGAGTGAAGGGAAGGACTACACCGGGAACGCTAACTGGGACCAGGAGAGAGTGAGTACAGATTGACGTATATTCTCTCTCTCTCTCTCTCTCTCATAAAAGTATATAGTTAACTATTGATAGAAACATATAAAGTCCAAAATGTGTTTAATATTTGATTATATTGAGTGTAACCATAGAATATACAGTATATATAACAATTTAATTTATTGTGTTTTTAGACGTAATTTTTTGTGGTCAGTAACTTTCTTCACTACACGGAAAAGTAAAGGATTTTCCCCTAACATATTGGTGGTGAATGGCTATAATTGAGTTGTGTAATATATTGGAAAATGATCCAATTCATTTCCCGGCGAGTAAGAGCAATCATCATATTAGGTTATTGGGTCATATTGATTATAGAGGCGATTTTACCTTGGTCTTATAACCCGTGTTTAGCCAGTGTAATTTGGTACATCAGGGTCACTTACAACATCAAACCCGAAAAGCCATTTTTGTTCTCTGAAGGTCGATCTCTGTAATCTTATCTCTGTATAATTTTTCTTACCTTTTATGTTTGTTTAAGTTAATTCACTGTTTTATATCTATTAGCTTGGTGTGTGTGTCTTGTGACTGATAACTCCCACTTTAGGATGAAATGAAGAGGTTTGGTCACAGTGCAGGATCACGTGAAGATTAAACACCCAAACTTATTGTATCTAAAGATTAACCTGCCTAACTCTACCTGGTGGGGGGGGGGGGTAGGCTAATTTAGTAGAATATCTCCACTAACTCCTTCAGTACGTGGACGCCATGCACAAGGGGTTAAGGTACTGTAGGTTAGGGTGGTTAATCTTCAGGTGATCTCAAACGCAAAACATCACGCCCTACAAACCAATAAAACCCTGACTCCCAGACGCTGCCTAGAAGTGAGGGATTGAGGTTGTGTTGGGTGGTAAGCTGGAACACTTGGGGATATTGTGTGAGGTAATGTCGTCCTTGGCAGTCATCATCATCTTCTACCACCCAACTTTTTTATCATGAGAATTGTTTTTATTTCGTTCCAACTGTTGTGAAATCGTCTTAGTCATCTTGTCCGAGGCGGTATGGGACAGTTCTTGTTTCTTACACAGTCATTATGGTATAGTTTTGTTTTATGTGTGTGTGTGTGTGTGTGTGTGTGTGTGTGTGTGTGTGTGTGTGTGTGTGTGTGTGTGTGTGTGTTTCCTCGTCTCAAAGTCTCCCAGCGTTGGCTTTGCCGTCAGTTGTTTATCGGGTCTCTGTCAGTCGTGTATGTGTGGCGCGACGCTTCTTGTGTGTCTCTACTGTCACACTGACCTATGTAGTATAATGACCAGGTTATTAATTCTCACCAGTACGTGACATTGCAGTAATAATATATCCACATCCTCCTCTCCCTCCCCTCTAGTTGTAAATGTTTATCATACGTATTAGTTTAAATATAAGGAAGCTCATGTCTGGGCGTAGGTTCTGGTGCACGTGCTGGGAGACCATGGGCGGGAGGCCAGGAGGGTCAGGGACAGAGTGTACACCTGGTGATGTGTGAGCGAGGGTCCGATGTCACGGGGCAAATAAGGAAAAATTGTCGAATGGCAAATTAAAATAGCAATCCCGCCTCGTAGGTAAGGTACTTTATAACATACAGTAGTTCCTAGACAAATATAATTATAACATACGGTACTGACTAACGCATCCATACTTGGGGGGAAAAACGAATTTGAATGTAAGAGAATAACGTGTTAAAGTCTCCATATACATCTAATGCTATGTCAACGATGGCGACAGAGAAGTGCAGTTCTTTTTTTTTATTTTTTTTTATTAGAAAGACGCTAATGCACTAAACCATATGGAAATCAGACGGCCACGAACCACACACAACTAACAACCCTATAGATCAGTGGTTACGGTATTATTATTCTAGCCTTTGGTAAGCAGATATTCCTTTATTCACGCCATAATGTGGTTGTGGTATAGTCTTAAGTCAGCCAATCTGGGGTGGGATGACTATACACCCTGAAATACAGGTGCGGCCTCTCTTAGTCACGTGGCTGTTGTCCTTGTGGCAGACCTTCATATTGTGTATGACGGAGGTACTGCTGCTCCCTCACCACCTTCCTCGCCGCCTCCTCGTCCTCCATTAATGTAACACACCATTTGATGCTTCTCCTCCACTGTCAACTGTCACGGCTTCACTTTCTCCCCCCTCCCCCCATCACCTGCTCCTCCACCACTCCTCCTCCACCATCACCTGCTGCTCCTCCACCATCACCTGCTGCTCCTCCACCATCACCTGCTGCTCCTCCACCATCACCTGCTGCTCCTCCACCATCACCTGCTGCTCCTCCACCATCACCTGCTCCTCCTTCACTGACACCTGCTGCTCCTCCTCCACCATCACCTGCTGCTCCTCCACGACATACTTCATCAGTCACTCCTTCAATCCCAGGAAACCTAACCTAACCTAACCACCTGCAGTTGGTTCGGGAAGATTAATTAGCTACTTAAACATGTGTCGTTATTAAAGATGTAATTGAAAGATAGAGATAAAATAAAATTATAGTAAATACATGAAACCGGCGAATGGAACGATAATGCTTGGGAAATAAATTAGTTTCATGAATGTATGGATGGGATAGGAGAACTAGTTGATGGGAAAAATGTACTATACAAAATACGATAAATTAACCCAAAAAATAAAAGCACAATGAGTAAAAAGTTAAATTAACCCAAAACAAAAGCACAATGATAAATATAAAAATCAGCAAATAAATAAATTAAAATAGAAATGCAGGAAATAAAGTAAATTAAAAATACGATGAATAACGAGAAATGCAGTAGTTTTAGAACACGATTGAGAAAATAAATACAATATCGGGATCTAAATGAAGTTTCGCTGGGGGGAAATACAGTGTCTTAAAATAACTGATGACGTTATGTCTTGTGGAGGCGCGTGACTTCCTTCTCCTGTGGGAAATATCACGGTGCGTTAGTGTCTCCTGAAACAACTTTAGTCACAATAAAAGAATGTGAGTCTAGGTAATGGATCTCAAGAAGTTTTAACCACTTTAACTGACCTAACCTAACCTAACCTAACCTCATCGAATCTAACCAAACTTACCTTTAACCTAACTAAACTCGCCTTTAACCTAATCTAACCTAATCTCATCGAATCTAACTTAACTAAACTTACATTTAACCTAGCCTAACCATGCCTTACCAAATTTTATATAATCTAACCTAACTAAACTTAACTTAAACCTAACCTAACCCGCATGTAGCGTTAAGGTTCTTAGTTGTCAGGTAAAATAAGACGGAAGGTGGGCGGGGTAATGTTTACGTGATCCAAAACAATGTATTAGTCTGGAGGTGAAGTGGTAAGGGTAGGCGGTGTGAGAGGGGTGAGTTGATAGCTGAGGAGGACCTGTCTACGGGTAGGGGCTGTAACGTGTGACTTCCTTCGTAACCATAAGATGAGTGTTACGGTGTGTGACGACGTTAGCAGTGTTAGGTTAGGTTAGCGTCAAGTTTCAGTAAGCAGTGTTTGATTAGGCTATGTATCTTTCTTCCAGGTCTGTATTTGATTTTTGTGTGTGTTACGGTGTGTGACGGTATCATAGATGTAACATGTGATTTTGTCTTAGGTTAAGTCATGGTTTTAAGATGCGACGGTGATTTTGGTGTGACGTGAGAGTCACTTATGGGGTGTAGCAGCGTCTTGGTTGTAACGTGTGATTTTCTCTCTGGTTTATCATGTTAAGGTGTGACTTATTGGATGTGACTGCATCTTGATTGTAACGTGTGATTTATGGGGTGTGACGGCGTCTTGGTTGGGGCGTGGCCTTGTAACACCTTCACCACCACCACAAACTGTTGCGTCACCGTCACGCTCTTTGTTAACTCTATTAATAATGGTTTGTAACGGTATGATACACCTGTCGGCCCTACACACAATCACCATTACCAGGTACTCGGACAAAATCCCATGAGACAATCTCCGAATGAACAAAATCCCATTAGAAATTTCCCTGTGAACAAAATCCCACATCTAGAATAGCATTGGACAAAACCCCAAGAGCCTAAACTTTCTTGAAATCCGAGTAGTTTCTGTGACTATGGAAGCCGTAGGTGTGAGCGATAGATTAAGGTTAAGTTGAATTAGGTAAGAGTAAGTTGGGTTAGGGTAGGGTGAGTTGGGTTAGGGTAGGGTGAGTTAGGTTAGGGTAGGGTGAGTTAGGTTAGGGTAGGTTGGAGTCACGGTACAGTAGTTAGGTTAGGTTACAGTAATTAGTGTTAGGTTTGGTTCGGTTAAACTTGTCAGGTTACAGTAAGTAGTGTTAGGTTAGGCTAGAGTCAGGTTACAATAAGTAGTGTTGGGTCTGCCAGATAATTTCCTTCCTCTCAGTAACCACCTTCAAGGAATCTCAAGCAATTTAGAGAGCATTTATGTTTACAAAGCGCATTATCCTGGATTAAAGTGGTAAGCTGCATACCTGGTGTCTTTGTTTAACAGAAAGATTTTAATACTGTGATATGTTTTACCCCACAGAGACCACTCCAGGGTAATTGCAAGAAATATAATAGTAATAATAGTAATATAAAGTTACTACTTTTACTACTGCTGCTACTATTAATGATGGTAATGCTACTAATGCTACTAATGATATAATGATACTACTACTACTACTACTAATAATAATAATAATAATAATAATAACAATAACAATAAAAAAAAAATAATAATAATAATAACAATAACAGTTGTTGTCCAAAGGAGAAGAGACTCGTGGTTGACGTAGAATCTTAATTTTGCTTACCCAGATTACCTGCGTGTCGTCCTGTTAATATTAGGAACAAAACTCAGTAGCCCTGGGAGAGAAAAATTTATGTTTCATGAAGTTTAGTACAGTTAGTCCTCTTAGAAACTACTCCGAAGTAATCTGAATCAGTTAAGAATGCATTGTGGTTATATAAAACATCGCATCTGTGCTTATAATTGTAAGACGGTGTAATTATCCTGCCGGTGCGTGAGGGAGGCCGTAGAGGGTGATGTA